CCTCATGCCCACTCCTCTTTTCATTAACCTTCTCCTGTTGTTTCTCTGGCGTGGGGGTATTCCCTCCTACATGGTTACCTTCCTGCCGTGCACTCCCCCCATTCTCGATCTCCGTATCGCCTTTCCACGATCTTTCCCATTCCCTCCTCTCCTTTCCCTTTCTGGCCTCAGCTCTCCGGTTGGATCTTTCCTCCATGCATGTATATGCTGACTAGATGGCTTTAGTCATTCACTGTAATATGTGGTAATATTCCACATTATTCCAGAATAATAACACTGGGAAATATAATTCCTTCCCATATTAATAATACTGGCTGAGTGAGAAGATCTTGAATATTAACTACATTATTTCCTCCGTAACATAACAGAAATAATTATTGAAGTATAAAACTGAGCCTTCCTTCTGATGGTGGTTTCTGTAATTTAGGTATTAACTGATCTTGCATGATCTCTTAATTTACCAGAATTGCAATAGTCCACTAATATGTCTACAGTTAGGAGAAAGAGTATATGCTTAGAATAGTTAATATTTAATTAATCCAAACTAAGTAATTTTGAGATTGTAATCAATAATGGTAGAAATCTCCTGGGTCAAAAATGATTAGTTATATTGCAGGCAATCCTCCCTTACCAGGCTTATAATTGGGACCAGCAACTCCATTGTTAAGGGAAACAGTCACTAAGTGAAATGTCATGTGACATGATGGCATCATGTGACTGTGATTAGGACATCACTTCCCATTGTTAAGGGAATTACCACGGGTTGTTAAGTGAGACATCATGTGATAGTGACTTGCAATTTTATTGCTCAATTCTCCATTGACTCTGCTGATTGGAAGTCAATTGCTGAGCATCTAAATGTCAGTCACGTGGTTGTGGGGACAATACAGTGGCTGCAAATGCCAGGTCTGGTTGTAAATTTACCTTTTTAGCACCATTGTAACTTTGAGTGGTTGCTAAACAGGACAATTGTTAGTGATACCCACCTGTAGTTTCACTTAGGTACATGATGCTTTGCAAGAAAAGGTTCCACTCAGAGCATCTTTCTATACATCGTTATGAAGAACACTATATAGACATGTTCATGAAGTTACTAAGAGGTGAATTTGACAGAGGTTTTACGTTAAAAGAGGGAAGATGTCTTAAGGCAGTTCCAGGCATAAAAATAATAAAATTGCAATAATTGTCATTCAATAATTTCTGTAGGAATTCCACCAGTTAACATGTGTTAGAAAATCATGGCAGGGTAGAGAGGAGGAAAGGGAATAGACAAATATTTAAAGATGTTTTCTTTCATCCTTTTTAGAATGGCCAGTATGGACATTGAACAAATAATTACACTTGGCTTAGCTCTTCTACTTGCTGTCAAATACATCTTTTTTGAACAAACAGAGATGGAATCCACACTTTCATTGAAGAATCCAATAATCTCTCCAATAATGATTCAGAAAAAAGTTCCTGAAAATTGCTGCAGAAAACAGTCTATTCCTTTAAAAAATACTCCCAGTTTAAGAAAAATGGGTGATACTCAAGTTGCCAAAGATGAAAAAGGTAGTTTTTTGTTGATATGTTTGTTTGTTTGTTTTTTAAAGTTCATACTGAAGCCTGAAACATAAAACCTTTGATAAATTCCTCAGATTTCAATGTTGACTTTTATGCAGATGAGACTGTAAAGCCTCTCCAGTCAGAATCGCCTGCCAAGGCCATATTTGTGGTTGGTGATAGTTCTGCTGAAGCATCCTTCATCAATAACAGAAAAGAGTCTGG